CAAAGACGACGCTCAAAGACGACGCTCAAAGACGACGCTCAAAGACGACGCTCAAAGACGACGCTCAAAGACGACGCTCAAAGACGACGCTGAAGGCGCCATACCAAGCATCAAAAGAACATTAAGAATTGATTAAAAAGCGAAAGGTGGCGAGCCAGAAAAATACATCCTGTTATAGCTCAATTTGGTTGAAAGGGCATCTTTTATTTCTCAGCACTTCTAAACTCCTTAGACGTCCAGATGAGTCACATCCAGACCCTTCTCTGATGACACAGTTTTCCAAACAAAATGAGTGAAATCAGTTCAAATGTTAGTGGCTCATGTTGGTATTTATTTAACAGGGCTTTATCATTAGTGAAGTATCTGTTGTACTTGGGAATATTAAACGTGTAAGTATGACCTAATATTTACAGTATGCTACTGAACTGCACAGTAGAAGCTTTCTCCATTTACTTTTCAAACACTGATTTAAGATCATCAGCTGCCTGTTTCAAAGATTTTCAGACACACCTGATTTGCATAAAGTAGCCTCGACCCAAACTTTATGCAAATAAAGAGTGGGCAACTCAACACCCCCTCTCTGGAAATGTGGCGATACGAGACTGCATTGCACGGCTGCTACACAGACAATGAGAAATGCAAATGACTCCTTTATAACAGAAATATGACAGTGAAATTCATCTGCTCAGCTCAAACAGCTACAGCCCCTTTAAATGAACCGTTAATTTGCATTCCTTAAATGTAATAACTACATTAGGGTTGAAGTGCAGGCAAACCTGAGTGTTTCACCTTGAAACAGAACGTCCTTATATTTAAAACATCTCTTGATAAACGGATATTATATATATTTTATACATTTTGAATTGGGGACTGTGGAAAGTAAATGGAGCCCATACATCATCAATCAGCCCACGCATACGTCACACATATATTCACAGGTGTGTATTCTGCATGTTTTTTGCAGGTAACACAAACAGGAGAGTGAAATGCCATTGTGATGTCAGTTATTGCCTCTTGGTGATATCAGGATTCGATTTTTCCATGTCTACAATTTGTTTTGAAGGCTGCTTCTGCAGGTGTGTGAGAGGCTGAGAGGTGAAGAAAGCATGAAGGGAGAATTATTCTGGAGGGAAAGATCAGCCGGATTTGTGAACTCGACACTCGACACAGAGCTGAAGAGCAGAAAACAGACGCACAAAGAGACAAACATGCTAAAATGTAGTCTCACACGCTGACACTGAAGACACACATGCTTAGAGGGGCTGTCAATTGAAGCCGATATGCCTGAAAACCAAACAAAAAGAAGACAGCTCAGAGACACTGACGTGGGGGTGTGATTTGAACGTGTAACAGAAACAAGTATCTGTCACTTCAAATCATCACTGTCAGCAAATGTAGACACGTCTGACCCACAAAGCATGTTTACACAGCATGCACGATGTGCAAGGGCAGGCAGGAGAGGTTGGAGGGTGGGAGGGTGGAAGCAGACAGGAGCACTAACCTTTCTTGTTTGCTGCATCCACAGAAAGTAGGCAGACAGTTAACAAGGAGGAAGAAACAGAGAGGATTCATTTACAAGTCGTCAGAGGACCTGACAGAGTTCATTGCTTCACCTCACAAACTACTCCTTCATCTCATCTTTGACCTGATCTCATTTTCTAATAAAATCTGATGTAGTTCATGAACAAAGAGAGAGTGTTTTTAATATTTCTAATGATCTCCACAGAGCAACCTGGAACAAATTACTGTAACCTGAATGGAAGGCTGGTTTCACAGTCTGTGGAACGTGATGAAGCAGCCGTCTCCTCTAAACATCAACCCACAGTGCTGAAAGGGCCAAAAACCAAAGTTCTTCTAATGGTCATTGGAGACTGGCTCTAAAAGCCAGCCAAGAGTCACAGACTCCCGAGTGAAAGTGTCGAAGCTTACAGCAGAAATAAACATGTTTACAAAAAACTGCTCTGGAGCTACTTCCCCTCTTCATAGCAGCCGTGTGGTGGATGAATTTGTGTTTTTTATTTTGTTAAAGCATAAAGTCTACATGAGGGGTTGGCTGCGTTTATTGATAGGTGGAAGGTGACGCAGCAGGGTGTAGCTGCTAGGCTTCGTCTCAGTCCATCTATCTGCAGTATTTGTGCTGCTGGTGAGACAAATCCTGTCTTTTTCTTTTTTATGGCTGTGAATTGGACCTGTATAGTCTATGAATGCAGCATGCTAACCTAGCCTCCTGGCTAAGCTAATAACAACACCGCACCTTCTGGTCACTTCTGGGTCATAAACCCATGGCTATCCATTTCTATGGTTGGTATTAATTCCAACTTTTGCATCAGTTTTCCCCTCAACAAAATTTGTAAGTGAAACTACCAAGCAGCCTCTTTATATTTCAGTTTAGCATGCATGAGTCGATATTGGTATACATAAGCTAACTGTGTTGAAAACTTTTGACCTAATTCAAGTTTCATGATTTTCAAAATAAATGGAATCATGTGAGGCTTACAGTAAAAACACACCCAACAATCTAAAATACCCCTTAATTAGACGCACTTAAGGTCTTAGTAACTCTAAGATATCTGAATATGTCAATATTAGTTAAAAATGTCACCAAGTCTTCACAATCTCAGGCAATATTTATATTTGTATGTATTTTTTACCTAACTAAAAAAAATTGATCTTGGAAAAACAAAGGATTTGTTTGACGTTGGACTACAGCAAAAGGAAGAATGAGGAAAAAGACAAAACAAGTTGTGCCTCTGAGCAGCGCAGCAGCCATATGGAGGCCCTCGTCAGCCCAGTCAGTAACTCCAGATGTTTGACCCAAGAACAGGAAGCACGAGCCAACTGTCAGGCTTGAAGAGCAGGGCCGCGAGGTAGCTCGCAGCACCTCCCTCCCATATGCCATGGAGGACCTTTGCCTTCAGGCCGGCTCAAACAAGACAAATGTCTGTCTCTATTCTAGAAAATCTTCCACTCTGACCGTTTCCTGGCACTCGGTTCTAATAAAATCTTCTTGTCATCTGTTGTGCTGAAGAAAATGCTTCAGGTCTCTCTGTGGACTCAGCTCGATGATATGAGGAGGAACACAATGAGCATGTACTGCCTCCAAGGTTTACCAAAAGCTTCTCTCACAACAGATGACAAAAAAGGATCATCTGTATCCTGATGCTTCTGTTACTTAGTTTCAGGGAATAAAATTGTAATTTTTTTTTTACATCTGATAGTTTGACATGTAAACGGTTTTTTTAAAAATAAAGTTTATAAAAATATATATGAACAAACTGCTCTGCTAACTGAAATGACAAAGCGGTAACTAGAAAAAGTAATTTAGATGTGAGTGTATTCCATTTTTTGTTATTTCACCAAAATGCTGCAGTGAGAGAATTCAGGAAAAACTAGAAAAATGGATCTTTCTAGTTTTTCTCCTCTGCTCACATTCAAAGTCTTCTATCAGAGCGCCCAGTGACGTGACACCATGGTCTCACTCTCAAATACCAACTTTAAAGCAGATTACTCACAAGATGGAGAGGAAATGGTGTCTTACTAATTTACTTCATTTACTTTGCTTTTTGACAGAGCTTAAAGCTGGATCGAGTGACCCTGAATTCACCCTCCACAGGCTTCCCATGATGCACTGAGCGTTTCTCCTTCTCTCACCATTTGTTTATAAACCATTTAATTATGAGTTATTATTAACCTCTGTCTCTCTTCCACAGTGTGTCTTTCGTCCTGTCTCCCTCCCCTCAGCTTCAACCAGCGCAGCAGATGGCCCCGCCCCTCACTGAGCCTGGTCCTATCAGGGGTTTCTTCCTGTTAAAAGGAAGTTTTTCCTTCCCACTGTTCATGGAGGGCCCCTAGCTGCTTACCCTAACCCTAACCAGTCTCTGTATTACTATAGGGTCTTTACGTTGCAATATTAAGCACCTTGAGGTGACTGTTGTTGTGACTTGGTGCTATATAATCTTAAAAACCTCATATTCATATTATCCCAGTGAAGCCCTTCCCTCTCAGCCTGCAGGCTTCTTTGTGGTTCATAGAATCCCTTAAAGTAGGATGGGAGACAGAGCTTCAGATATCCTTCCTGTGGATCCAGTTTGAGTTCAGGAGACAAACACCCTTTTCACTTTTAAGATCATACTTAAAATTTTCCTTTTTGATAATAAAGAAAAATTAGGGCTGAATCAGGTCATCTTGAACGATCTCTTAGATATGTCACTACAGGCTCAGCCCGATGGAGGACTTCCCATCATGTATTTCTCTTCTACTGTATTGCATATCATTACATTTCGTCCTTTGTCTTCCATAGTTTGGGTTCTGTTGCTATCTCTGTGCGCTCGTTTTACCCTGACACGTTCCATAAAGCTGCTGTTTCCTACGCCTGGTTCTGCTGCGATCATTTCCTCTTAAAAAGACATTCTTCCTTCCTACTATTGCAAATTAGGGTATGTACTAAAACTGATTAAAATCATATTCAGTCACTGATAGATCCACTACATTAATTTAATAATTTAGCATTTTAACAAAACAGGAACCTTTGTCTTTACTTGAATATTTACTGAAGTCAAAGCAGTAAAGGCCCTGTGAAGGAAAATGTTAACAGAAATTAAAATGTGCTTGTAAAAAACAGTGTTTTCAGTATTTTTATGAGTCTGATGTGATCAACGATTAATGTTTTCTGCATCTCTTGGAGGCGTCACTCCAAAAATAACCAGTGTGTGTCCTCGCAGTGTCCGCTGTTGCGTGTGTCATACTCACCTCTTGAAGAGTAAAATAGCGATGACTATAATGATAATCAGAATGACTGCCAGCACCGGACCCATCACCCACAGCATCTCTGGGTCTTCTTGTGGTTGTCGAATAACCCCACTGATCTTCACCGTGAAGGGATCAGAGAAAGGGCTGGCTGCAAATGTCCTCTGCTGCAAACGAGAAGGATTCAGTCAGTTCCCACACACACTTGTTTTCATATCTCAGTGAGGACATCTCATTGGCATAACGCTTTCCCTAGCTGCTCACCCTAACCATCAAAAACGAGTGAAAAACCTGACCATAACCTAATCCTGACACTAAAACCACATTTTGAGCCTCAAAAATGCCTTCAAACTCACGAGGACGGGGATTTTGAAGCCAGCGGTCCCAACCCCTGGTCCACAGACTGGTACCGGTCCGTGAGTCGTTTGGTACCGGGCTGCGAGAGTTGAGGCTCGGATGTGAAATTTATGGTTTTCAGGGGTTTTAATCAGTTTTTATCATTAGTTTTATATCGTTTGAATAAATCTTCTTTTTTTTGGTACCGGTACTGTTTTTATTTCGTTGTATTTATCTGCGACACCTTAAAGGCCTGTCTGTGAAAATATTGTCGGACATAAACGGGTCCGTAGCGCCAAAAAGGTTGGGGACCGCTGCAACAAGTGACTGTTGGTCCCAATGTTCTGTCCTCACAAAGATGTCTAAACATCATTTTATTCATTTTATTTCATGAAATATTTCTGCTCATTTTAAACATGTTTTGAGAAAAGTTGGGAGACGGACAACAAAAGGCTGGAAAAGTAAGTGGTACTAAAAAGAAACAGCTGGAGGAATATTTTGTTAACTGGTAAACAGTGAGTAACATGAGTGGGCATGAAAGGAGCATCTTAGAGTTTCGAAGAAGTAAACACGGTGAAAAAATCCCTAAAAAAACAAACACCTAAAACAACAGCATGACTTCATACTAGAGGAGTCCAGTGTTGAACTAGCTTAAGTGCAGTCCAGACCTTTCTGGCGCATCATGGACCGGAGCATCTCCTATATCAGACAAGAAGGGGACGTCATTCCTCTTCCTGTTTTCTGTGTTTCACCATGAATAAAATCCGGATTTATGAGGTTTGCAAATCATTGCAGTTTGTTCTTGTCACACAGCTCGCCAAGTTTTTGGGGATTTCAGGTATTCACACCACAGCGTCCCTTTTCAATGCAACCCATCTATCAAACAGTCCCACTGGTAGTTGTGCGATGTTTTAGGAAGAAAATAAGGGGACAGTAAAAACCATTGAATGGAAATAACTTGTGAATATTCTTAGAGCTAATTACTGGCTCTCAGGGTGGTTTTAAAAAAAGTTCCCTAGAGGTAAAGGTTTCATCTAGTTTTTACGATACAATATCAGGAGACAGTCTGGGTCAACACAAAAACAACTTAGATAAAAATTAATTTTATTCTTAGATGTGAGCGTTTTACTGTTTTCTTATTTGTTGAAATTAAATGGAAAGACATTCTGGCTAGTTTATGTCTCTGTCTTGTATATTGGCAGTAGGCTGATATAGAGGTTTGTGCTTCATAGCATGAAGGTACCTTTGTTCCCCATGTGTGCAGTGACGTTTATTTCTATTCCAGTTCAGTTTCTATGACTAATATGATTACCCCATCACAATAAAAAAACAACAACAACAACAACAGAAAACACAATCATCAATAATTAGAACACAAAGAGGCATTTGTTGTCTCACTGAGGAAAAAAATAACACTATACAAACTGATCTGTTTCCCAGTGTGTGGCAAACATAACAATATGCTAATGGAAACTCAGTTTTGCACTCTTTTGGATAAGTTTTGTTTATTCTTGCTGGTTCTTGTTAAAACTCTAAAATATCTTCGTGGTGCACAGAGTTCCTGAAAAAGCTCCTGAAAAAACCCAAAGAAAATCCTGCATTTATTGCATCCATGTAACCTGCATGAAGCCTTTTTATTGCTTTTGTTGAAGCTTTACAATATTTTGTGGTACAGTCCCCCCATCGATCAGAGGAATAATGTGAAACCTGTAACAGGACTATCCATCACATTACCAAAAAACTTCATGTAATTTAAATATTTTAAACTGTGAAAACATTTTGATTCAATTCATCAATTTAAAGATTTTAAGCAATTGTAAAGCAGGATTCCATGTGGGAGTGTAAATGAGGTTTAAACGATAACAGGTCTCTGCAGGTGAAGGCAACTGGTTATCTGTAACAGCTCCTGGAAGGCAGCAGGTGGAGGGGATGGGGTTGGGGACAGAGGAGGACAGACAGTGAGGTGTGAGACAGGCAGAGACAGGCTGCTGTGTTGGATGTGCTTGATGTGGGACCGTACTGCTTGTTGTCATGAGACCCACCCTGAGGCCAGGGGGGCGCAAGAAGCTCAGTGCAAGGATACGCATCGGCAACATCCTCTGAGGACACATCCAACAATGCCACCAGCTTCACTACACCTTCAGATGGGGCATGGAGACCTGAGGCCAGCCCTGAGTTCTCCCCTGCCATCACTAAAGGACATGGACCTAGACTCTCACTTTGGCACAATATAAACTCATGTCTCGCTGTTAGGACAGAGTCTGTTCATCTAAAAGATCCGTTTTCTCCACTTATTTTTAATGTTTGTAAATGCTGATGGACAGAAAGCCACAGCTCTGCAATCGCGCATCTTTGGAAAGACCAGCACATATACAAAGAAAAACGAAAAACATATAAATCTGTTGAAGCATACATATTTCTTTATAGCTACATCTAGGGCTTTGATTTGTGTAATGGACTGATGTCGACCATCCGGACTCACGCTGAACAAAGCATCGATTATGCCATCTGGCCATAGTCTCATATCATTGTCACCTACTTAAAAACAGGCCAGAGTAGGTGCGACGGTCTGCTTCTCTCTCAGACTAATTGCATTTCAATATGCTGAAAGCTTTTAATGGATTTTCGTCTAATGGTGCAAAAAACATGTTGCCTACCTTAGCTTTAAAAAAAAATACAACAAAAAAGGGTAAAAACTGAAAGTATCCTCACTGTTCAGGCCTATTCTGGCTGAGCACATCAAGCATAATGTGACAAATCCCACTTTATCACTTGTTGAGATTCCAGTGCTCCAAAGCAGCCAGGTTTGAATGGCTTTCACCAATTTATTGAGTTCAAGGACTTTTAACTTCAAAAGATGACAGCGTGTGTGTTCTAATGCTTTGTCAATTTAAGCTATTTGCATCCATAGGAACAGTGTCATTGGCTGCAGTTGTCTTTAAATTTGATTCAGTGGTTTACATAAACAAGCGTCCGCCTTGTGGTTGACAAATAAAGCCAATGCAGAAATACCAGCTCCTGTAAAGGCCACTTGAGGCTGACTCCGGTGAGCTGATCCACATAGACTTTAATGTTGAAATGCACAGTCCTACAGTGGAGGTAAACAGTTTTCCAGTCTGGTACAAAAAATTATTGTGGTCTTCACAGTTAATCAAAACCTCCATAATGAATTCTTTTTTATAACTAAGTTGAATCTTCTACATGTTCGTTTGTTTGTGACCCATACAGTATGGATGAAGCTTGGTAACAGCGATCGCAAGTGTTAGCTACTGTATTTTCCACACTATAAAGCGCACTTAAAAGCCTTTAATTTTCTCAAAAATCAACAGTGCGTCTTATGTATGAATTCTCAAACCGATTTTATGTGGTACATGGCGCTCAAAAATCTGTCAAAAAATGTTTTAGTACGACTTTGCTAAGCTACGAAGCCGCACGGCCTGATGGATTGTCGGAGCATTACGGCTGCCGTAGCGTCGCGGAGTCCTGGGTCCTAAACTCCGTCCGTTTCAGGTCCCAAACTCAAACGAACACTGCAGATGCTGCAGTGTTCGTTAAAAACTGTCTAAATTCTTTCATCTTTAATAAAATGATCAGCGTTGCTGCTTTACCAGGTGTAACTATGAAGAGAGTTAGAAGTTAGCAGGAAGTTAGCTCGCTAGCTTCCACCTAAACATGATATAGCATGTTCTGACTGAGAGATTTGTGAATAAATTCAAACGTACAGCTCTGCTGTCACTTCCAACATAAATGAAGACAGAAAACTAAACAGCAGTGACGTTTGTAGGGTTACTGAAGTTGGGCTAGCTGCTATATAATGATGTGCTACGTGATTGCTAGCAACACAGCTATGTTAGCATAACATAGTGAAGCTGGAGGATGAAGCTAACTTTTTTCCACTTGATAAAAGTTAACGTGAAGGTTTCTGATAGTTAGAGACAAATGCAATCGCATGGCAGGATGCTGTAAACGGACCAAACTTCAGCAGGAGAACAACTGAGATAATCCATCCACAATACGAGGTTAGTCATTAATATACTGCAACAACATGGGAACAGAGCAGCTGAGAGAGGATTCAACATTAATGAATCAATGGTACGGAAGAGGAGGAAGCAAGAAGAAGCTGAGTAAAGTTTGACTTATCTGACTGTTTTGTTTCACTTAATGCTCCTTATGGTCTGAAAAATATGGTAATCAGAAATACCAGGCAGTGATGTCATGTCAGCTACATCCATCTTTTGTATACAGTTTTTTCAATGGAAATGGGCCATTAGTCTATGGCAGTATGACTCCCATGTTAAACAGCAATGTTTCCCATGATTGCATCAGTATTTTAGAGCCCCCTCTCTGTAAAAGCCCACATCATTAAACCCCCAGACGGCCAGGTTTTCATGCAGTGTTTCTGTAATTACAGTCTCTGTGGAGACCAATCATTTCTCAAGCAATGTCACTCGAGTAAACAAAAACTCCTCCAGAGCCACCAAACACATTAAACAAGTATTTCACCAGCACAGCAGTAGTACTTCTCCAATTGACTTTGACATGTAAAATTAGAGAAATTAATACCAAAAAACACCAAACCAAGAGATGTTTGTCATCCTAATGACCTCTGGAGTAAAGCAGTGCAAAAAAAAATCGCTTCATTACAAAATAATCAAATATTGCAGATGAAGCGAAATCAAAGAAAACACTTTTAGGTCTTCTCTAAGCGGCAGAGTTGGAGGCAGTCCGATATTGGCAACAGAATAAACATTAAAAGGGGTTACATGGATCAATTTGCAGGGAGTAATTCTCTTTAAGTAACTGTTCTGCTTGTCACTTTATGTTCTGTGAG